TGAAGCCTATGGTACAGCCGTTTAAACTTAATAATAACAGTGCCATTGACTGAAACATCCGTTACATCAATAAACACTATGTCACCATGGTGACAACATATTGATATTAGATACTTACATCTGGACAAACATTTGTGAAAAACTACTACATGTACTTTGTTGATTACTTAACTTAAATTTTTTTTCTAACTTTGAATATTAATGTCAATGATCTGTATCAGAATATAAAAGTCACATTAACATTAGAAAATACCATTTACTTCTATATATGTTTTCAGGCGGAATAGAAACTATATATATTCCATCGAACAAAGAAATGACAGGAGAGAAAAGTTGGTGTTTATAGCACTATTTTGACATGAAATGAGGGAACACTTTGTGTAGTAGATCTATGTATATCTGCCACATAGACACTATACAGATACACAATAACAAGGTGAACACAAATTAAAGGCCAAATTTCATCTAAGAAAAATATCCCTTCAATTCCACGGATTGGTAATTACATTCACTACCATGATTTCATACAAGAACAGGTGTCATGGACAATGTATCCCTTCTTGGTGCAAGTGAAAGTAAACCTAACTACATTCACACAACGGATGATGAGATTCAAACAAATGAGTTTGTACGACTCTTTTCATGCATGATCAGTTATCTGCTACATAAATAACAAAAGGTGTGGTAATTTGATCTTGGCTGTTATGTCGATATCAAAACCAAAATCTAGTTCATGAAGATAATGAAACTTCTTGTCAGTTAAGTAGAGACAATGCGAGGATGTGTTCAACTGTTAAATAGACATAAACCTGTGAACATGCACATACCAATCAGATGAAGCAATTACATGCAGGGACTTAGCTGCTTAATTTGAAAAAAAAAAAAAAAAAAAAAAAAAACCCAACAAAAATCAAAAACCCAAACATATTTATATAAATCTCTCCATGTCTTTCATGTGTTAAACTGAATGAAGTTAAATTGAAATTTGCAATGCATTTATCTTTTAGCGTGTTTTTCCTTGTTTAACATCATTTCCCCCCTAATATTCCAGTTATATACCAGCAGCCTGTAAATAATCCTGAAGTCCTGACTTCAGTGACTATCGATGTGAGCATGATCCACGTTGTTTAGTATAAGATTTCATACAGTCTGGCAAATCACCATATCTAACCACATGATCTGTTTGGTGTTGCTGTATGTGTAACACAGGCTTCTTGGTTACCAATACTAACCTGGGATCCATAGGGGCAGTGTACTCATCTATAAAGAACACACCAAATCTCAGGATTTACAGGACGCGAATTCCTGTGTCCTATACCCATAAAAATTGACAACGGATGCAACAAAATTTATTAGCGTGTCCACAGGGACTCAGAAAGTCTAAATACTTTTTGTAAAAATTCCAATGAAGTGACAATAAGTTATCACTGAGCTTGCTACTAGTTGGGTTATGGTATTATTTGCAATTTAATTACTCTTAACAATGTGATGATCATGATACACAATACAATAACAGTATAAAGAACAATATTTAAGTGTCTGGGACCCCCATTTTGTTGTCCAGGACCCCTGAAAATTAAGAGTATGAGTCCCTCAAATACAGGACTCCAGGTAAATCCCTGACCAAATCTGTTATTTGTTATGGATACCAATTAACCAACCTGGTACAAATTAGCAAAATAGAACTTAAGAAGTGTATCACACGTTAAAAAGAGAATTTCCATTAAGGAATTATAGTGCATAGGACAGTATGTCCTTTGTCCTACATATGATAAAACAAGATTACCAGTATACAAATCAATTACTGAGAAAACATTGGGTCTTGTAAACTCTCCCCACATTCAATTTCCAGTATTTTGGCTGGGACTTCAAAGTGTGATTAACAAAGTGAGATAAAGTATTGGTGTTGTTAAATTGGCTGATCACTGATAATGTACCTTATCTATTAACTAAAGACAAATTGTGGTTCAGATGTTTAGCAAGTTTGAGAAGCAAGTAAAGTGAGCAATTTTGGTATTGGTGGCCTCATAAAAGCATCCAAGTATGAAACCAGTGTGATGTACACAAAGCATTATGGGAACTCATTGTGAGCTCAGGTCAAGGTGCAGTACTGACACGTTACAACAGCTGACAGTATGTATCACAATATCACTTGCCACATTTGCTACATTCTACATGAAACAAGAGATCTGACTGGAGATGAAACACTTCTTAAATAACAAAATGGACTAAAATAAGTGTCAACATGCCTCTTTTCTCCATGCCTCTGGACAAGTTATATGTAGTGTATTCCCCCATTTCTTTCTTGGTAATTACAATACATAAATTTCATGCAGGGATTGAAATAAATAAAAGACAGGTTTATAAATCAGACTTGTGTGCTCTTTATAATCCAGATATGAATGAATATGATGCATGTATTCTCAAATGACTCACTTGCAACACACAAAGCATCTCATGCATTAACACTGGGACAAAATAACCCAACGTTTTGTGGATTTTTCCCCCATAAATAACTCTTAAACTTTAACAACACTATCACTGAAAATGTGACCCAAACGTGTGCTAAATTAGAATCATAAGGATCTGTGGCTCACTTGTTCTGGCATATCAGTACTCCCCTGAAGTTAAAACATGGAGTTACATACTTCATATACCAACATTCAGCAAAATTACGTTTCTGTTGTGAGAAAAAAATATGATACCATTTTTATGAAATATAAATCCCAATGAGGTGAACAAAACATTAGGCCATTATGAGTGCCCATTATAAAAAAACATTCCAGTTGATGGTTAATAAAATATACATACAAATTTGAACATCTGGTCCTTCCCATTACTAGATACATTCACAATTTGTCATTAAGAAGACTGCGCAATGGCAAATAATGATTTTTAATAATGTTCATTGGAGTTCATACTGTGAAAAGGATTCAAACCTTTTTATAAAAATACATCCTTTGTGAGAAATACTTAAGGAGTTTCAACTTTGGGGCTTTCTGAGATCATGTTTAGCCAGACAATAGACAACATACGGCAGACTAAAAGGCCACAATATAAACTCACTTCACTTGCAGTCATGTGAGCCCAAACACAGGAACTTAAAAATGGTAAAATATACAGCATGAAATATGAATATTACAGCAAATATTTTACTACCATAGTCTACAGCAACAGGTAAAAAATATATTTTGTCTTGATGTTTATAGTAAGTTCATTTTCCAACAGTAACGATGTACCAAAGTTCAAATATATACAGTATGACAAGCTAACATGACTGGGTAACATCGGACAGACCAGGCATCTTTATATGTCAAATTAACAGATCAACAAGTTGAAGGCAAGTGCTCAGGATGCTAATTTTAAAGACACTGACATACAACACAGATTAACAAACAGTTGCATGAAGATAAAACCAGATAAACATTTTAACAGGGAACAAGGACTGTCAGTAGCACTGTCATAGACATTTCATAACATTGTCCACTGATCATTGCAGTAACAATTACATGCAATAACTGTGAAACCTCATAAAGGCATTTCTTTTAAAAAAAAATAATAACTGTATACTAGTATTAAGATATGAAAAAACCAAAAAACAACCAAACTTGAAATGCTAACCACAAATATTTTTAATATTTTCAACTTTCAGTCAAGAACGTTAATTGTATATATGAAGATACTAAGATGTAGAGCCATTGCTACAAGTAAGTATTGCCACTACAAAGTACATGGAAATATTTAGAGATAAGAGTACAAAGTATCAAAATTATGTCTGTTGTCTTGAATAGAGAGAAGCTTGTTGTTGTGAAACATGTTGAATCTATTTTTTTCTAACAAAAATATATATAAGGACTATGTAATGTATTTGACCATGACGACATCCAGAAACATGCAACAAAGTAGCACAAATGATCACGTGTTCTTCTTGTTCTGGGCTATGACTTTGTCAAGGAACTTTTCTAGGTCCCGGTGTGATCTGTAGCAGTTGTTTTCGATACTCAGGGTCAGCTCAGGCAGCATCAGTTGAATAAGGAGGAACACCTTCTCTCTGAACTCTTCCAAGCACACATCGGAGATCGACATAGACTCACACAAGGTTCAAATACAGGCACCCCACAGTTTACCCCCAACAAAGTCAAACTCTCCAACTCGCTGCTCAACTCTTCAGAGTCCTTCACATCATCCTCTGCTTCAGCCTGCTGCAACAGCAGAATAACGTCATCAACAATCCTAGAGAAATGTCGCCCCTCAGGGGCAACCTTTGATAGCACTGGTTGTAACCTTGGAAACAGATGGCAGAACAGAGTGTGGAGTTTCGTCTGCAGGTTGGACAAATACAGACAATGACGCATGAATCTTCGTTCATGGGCTTGAAGTGAATTTTTGCCACAGACTGAAACCAAACTGCACTCACTATGAGACCTGGAGTGGCGTTTCCTTCGAGCAGGGCTCTTCGATCCAACACAACACTGACAGGAGGAGCTATTTTTTCTCCCTGCCTTTAAACGTTTGCTTCGGGATGAGCCACCCTTTTCGTGGCACTTGTGAGTGTCCTGGGAATGACTTTGAAACACTTTGCTTTCAACAAGTTCTGTTTCAGGTTTCTTGATGTTTGCTTCCCTCTTATCAATCACCTCAACAGCAAAATATTTTGGTGGAGAATTCTTAATGCTTGATTTCCGTTCACACTTTTTCAGCTTCAACACAAGTGGTGGACTACCATTACTGCTGGTCTTATTTGTGAGGTCACTGGGAATTACAGTAAAACGATGACTATCACATGAAAATTGTGGACTTTTTGTATGACCAGAGACATGATTGTCGTGTTCATGACGTGGACTCTCCTCACAACAACTTTCACTCTGTGAACCAGCGCCTGAGTCACTGGCACCTATTTCACAGCCATTCCGAGAAACATAACTAGTGCTGTCACAGTCAACACCAGCAGACAAAGTCCTCTCAATACACAGATTTCCACTGTTCGACTTTTTGTCCAAGTCTGAACCAATACCTGAACAAGAATCAATCTTGCTTGTGACCAGCTTTCCATTGGCAGATTCTAACTGATGGCAGCCATTACTTCTCACTGACTTCTCCTCGATCTGAGGCAGAAAGAGAAGCTAAGCAGTGCTTGCTACTTGTTTTCTTTGATCTATGAGCGTCTTTGGGAGCGAAAACATAATGTTTCCAATAAGGAATTGCACATTTTATCACCGACTGTTTTTGATTTAGGAAAAGATTGTTTCTTGATTTTCACAGACGACAGATGAGAATCTCCAACTGATTTTGATTGCTGACTGAGTGAATCCTCCTCCTCTCCCTGCACAGAAGCAGTTGTGTTATTTGGGAGCTGAAGGCTAGGAGTGAGTTCAGGGGGGTGTTCATGGAAATTACCTTCCAGGTGTTGCGAGTAGGGCATGCCTGGGGGCCAACAGTTACTGCTGGAGAAGTCATCTTGGATGTTGGGTGGCGAGTCATCACCACTAAGACATCCTTCACTTTCTTCTTCCAACATCATATCCTTTCCAATCCCTACAGAGGTGTCACATCCAGGGGACACAACTCCGCTGTCATCTGTCTGGCTGCCAGGGCTGAGGCTTTTCTTACAACGGACCCATCGCTTGCGGGAGTATTTCCTTATGACTGCCTTATATGCATGAAATCGCTGACGTGTGGTGGACTTCATACGCCTGCTGACTAGACTTGCTGGATTCATCTGTGTTGATTGCGGAGATTGATAGGATGAGAAGGGAGACAACTCTGTGTCAGTGTCGCTGTTGTTGTTTGTATCTACCAACATCACCTCATCTTCAGTGTCACTGTCTCCATCGCCACTCTTGGACTGGTTCAGCCAGGCTTCAAATGCCTGTTCAAAAGCCCCAGATTCTGATGGCAAACTCATTCTGTTCACTTCAGTTTTCACATTTCCTATGCTTTCTCAGTACTACTGTTCATAGGACAGATTTCGACATGTTGTTCACATGATTTAGAACCGCTTGAAACAGACAAATTTCACATGTTGAAACAGGGTGCAACACCTTGGTTGAAACTGATCTGAAGCTGTCCAGGATCTGTCAACTTGCCTCCTGAAATAAGAACAAAGAAAAAAAATCAAACAACAATGATGGATTTTTCAGCAGTTTTTTTTATCATGATCAGCTGATTATTTCATTGACATATTGGAGACAACAATCTGCCGTTAACAAATTTCTAGCTTACTGACTGTTTTGAGACTTCAATATATTCAAAGTGATCAGGCATGATTGAAATAGTAACTGCTGTCAAAGTACTTAATATTATTACTGGCAAACAATTCACCTTCAACAATTACTTTTTATTACATACACTCTGCCATGGTGAGCTAATGCAATGGTATTGGAACTGATAATGCAGTGTGAGAGACTGCATGAAATGCAGCAAGTATGTAAGTTATTACATGTATTATTCGCACAGTAGGTTACTTTGAAGCAACCATACAACATTTTCTTGTTGAGAAAACGAGACTGTCAGTGCAAATGAAACTATTGAAAGTGTAACAGTTTGATGTACATGCAATTTTGAATGATGTTACTGAATGTTTATGAAATAGGGAGTAGGTTCCAAGTCAGTCCCTGTGCCCCTGGATCATATTTTGGGGTTACTGTTGAGCATAGTTTGTTCTGGAGTGTATGTGCAAAAGGAACACAACATAAAGGCATGCATATCATCAGAATAAAATCAAAGGATGTGGTTGCTACATTGCATCTAAATGTCCAATCAACAACTCATGATTTAACACTTTATTATGACCTGGCAAACATCACTTGTTGACACAGCATTGTCACAATTAAATGACAATACCAAGCCATTTACATAACAACTACAGAAGCCAACATGGATGTACTTTACTTTATATATGTATTAAATTTATTTTATTGGTAACCATCTTGACTGGAAGCCTTTTATTCTGGTTGCAATAAAATCCCATTAAAAGGGGAGGTAACTTTTCACTTATGGTGATTTTTGCCTGAAAACAAAACATTCCAGATTAACTTGGTTTCACTGAACATGATTACTTCCTTGTGTGGACATCTTATAACAAAAGCTTAAAATATATATATGTCAGGGTAGAGACTGCGTCAGGGTAGAGTCTCAGTAGACATTGCGATCGGAGATTCTACCAGTAGAGATTGCGATCGGAGTCTCTACTGGTAGAATCTCCGATCCTACTAGTAGAGATTGTAACCGTAGTCTCTACTGGTTGAATCGGAGATTCTACCAGTACATTTTCCAATTCAACTGGTAGAAACTCCGATCCTACTACTAGAGGCTGCAATCGTCTTCAACTGGTAGAAACTCCGAGTAATCTGTAGGTAAACAACACAGACACTTTTTCTGAACAGTACTATGCATTTTATTCAGATATAACACTAGACTGTTTCCACTTCTACAGATATATTAAGGACTAAAAATACAAATGTGACTTGAGAGATCATATTACAATATATACATATATTACAAAACTGATTACAAGCAAGATCAATTGCATAATCAGTTTTTGTCCTAGGCATAAAAATTTAGGATTCATCGTGACTCCCTGGTGTCATGAGAGGGAGTCATGGACATGTTTTTGGGAGTCAACTTCTTTCATCAAGAGATCAACTGTTATTGTTTAATAACAACAGGTCCAAGTAAGGCAGGTCAGGTATTTAATCAGCACTGAGCAGTTACTTGGCAAACATTAAACTTAGTAGTTTTAGGTTTCTTGGCATGTCTGCATTTTGGGAGGATAGGTGTAGGGCAATTCCCCACCAGGTCATTACCCCATCTGCCATATCCCCACCTGGTCATTTCCCCCCTTTGGAAAGCAGTGTTTTTATAACAAAAAGTGTAGAAGTGAGCAAAGCTCACATACCCCCGCTTCCCACTTTGGGACATGGAAATGACTGATATTGATATATATAATGTGACAAGGATCAGCAGCTCACAAGACTTTCTCTTTGACTCTACTAAACTTTATATACATGTTAGATAATAGTTTTGGCATGTACTGATTACGGTAATTTATGGAAACTAGATTTTTTTGTGTTTTCCGTGGAAACCTGACATGCAATTGAACTTGACTGTCTCAAGTTGCACACAATGGACGTAGATGAAGATTGCTATTTTTTAGCACATGGCATATCTGTGGGTCATGATTAACTTGTGTATTAAGTTTGGTGAACCTAGCATGTATAGTTGCGATGATATGCCGTGGTCAGGTCACCTTATACATTTTGCATGTACCTAGCATGAACCTAGCATGCAAATTTTAAGAGATATGCTCTGGACAAAATAATCGAACACATTTGGCACTAAGTCATGTTTCCATGGAAACAGCAAAAAATACAATTCATATCTGGATCTACCCCCCAAAAGGCACATCTAGGGATCATGCTTGATATGTGTACCAAGTTTGATGAAGCTAGCATGTATAGTTTGGAAGACCTGCTCCGGACAAGATGACATCCTCATAGTCACAGCCTAAATCATGTTTCCATGGAAACAGCAAAAAAACTAAATTCTGAAAAAACTTTAAAATAGCAAAAGGCACATAAATGGGTAATGATTACTATGTGTGTGAAGTTTGGTGAACCGAGCATGTAAACTTTAAGAGATATGCTCCGGACAAAGTTTCGGGACGGACGGACAGAATGAACGCTATATACCCCCGTTACTTCGTAGCGGGGGTATTATTACTGATCATAAGTTTTGAAATACATCTGAATGAACTTCCTACTTTTAACTGAGACTTTGATAACAAACATTTAACACCTCACTGTAAACAATATCAAAATAAAAAATAAAAATGGTTTGTAACACTGTATTTACATCATGAGACCAAGCTGCCAAATTTGGACTCCACTCAAAAAAACAAAAATATCATTTCCCAGGTAGACAAATCTTACTTACATTTAACTGTAAATTTGGTATAAATAGGGATGTATTTTTACAAGGCTTCCTGATATTAAAGTTAAATATTGTTTGTTTATGGTTCGGACTATACATTGTAATTGAGTTTGAATATTCTTATAATAGAACGTAATATGATAGTGAAGTTCCCTTATAAATGTGGAGGAAACAATCATATAATTGTATTATTCGAATTTGAATAAATGTTACAATATTAACATTTCCATCATGTCTGTTGTGTTGATATCAGCCATGTTGGCGGTCAAGCGGAAGTAGTGATGCAGTTTATTTGAGACTCAGTGTAGCTGTCATAAAACTAGACACATTTCAATCCAAATTGATAATTTTATTGAGTGTCCTATGAAATTTGAGTATTTCACGTAGTCATGGTAGAATGTCAACTGCATGATGATGGTTCACATTCTATTATTGGTCTTATATATGGGCCAAAGGCCAATAGAGAAGTACTAGGGATGCCATGATACATCGATGCATCGATAGTTTTTCTAAGACAATACAATTATCGATACATTGAAAAGTGATGTTTAGTTTTGAAAGTATCAGTTTAAATGTTTGTGTATCATTTACGTTTTGCAATTGTACCATGTTTTTTTTTTGTTATGAGAGTTATAAATGATTATTTTTCATGCATAAAGATGGGAAATTAGAACTTTATAATCTCTCCGAATAAAAAATGTTGTTCTTTCATGGACAATTATAAAATATGAAATATTAACGTTCAAAATGTAACTAAATTTAAGCAATGCCACGAAAATAGGTATCGTGATAAGTATCGAATCGTGATGTGGGTATCGTGATACATATCGATTCATGAAACTTATGTATCGTGACATCCCTAACAAGTACCATATTGTTTACATTGATTTCCATATGTCTTACATATCTGATGAAAAAATGCATGAAATAAAGGAATGTGTGTCAGTCAAGAACTATGTTGGACATGGGTGAGCAAACTTTTCTTCTGTTTGGACACTGTTGTATATTATAATGGATATAGTTTGAATATTTTGATACATTGAAAATGGGAAATCGTATATAAAGAATTTCACATGATGGCATCTCAAGTTGAACATTTCAACACTGAACTCGCAATTCAGGGGTCTACATTGATATATATTTAGTATACTATTCATACATGCGCCCCAAGTTCCCTTTCTCAAATACAACACACACAACAATCAGTGGCAAGAACTTATTAGCCCCTATATTTGGCAGTGGAGCACCTTTAGAAAACAGCACCACAATTTCTCGTGCGGACGGTCTCTGTCATAGGTCACATGTCACTAAGTCAAGCAGCCAGTTTTGTGAGATTCCGTCAGACGCGAACCTGCGACCTTTGGATTGTTAGCCTGAAAGTTAACCGACTAAGTAGTTACCTAGTCATTCCTGAGAAGTTACAGAAATGAACGGAAAGCGTCAAATAGGTCACGGACAATTACGAAGGTTGCGGGTAGACTTGGGCATCTCGTGATTTTAATCTACGGACAATTGAAGAATGGTCCTGATGCAACTTGGCACATTTGTTCCATTCTGTAGTATACAAGATACTGTGGTGTGGAATGTGGCGGGAACTGAAAACGGCTGTTAACGTCAGATGTCAAATTCATGATATGCATGAATGACATGCTATTTAAACATCATTGGGTGACATCGGATAACAGAAAAGCATTGCTAAGAACACTGTAAGGATAATGTGGATCGCACTAAGGAATGAGGGAGGCATGAGCATGTCGAGGGTGAGTTAGCCTTTGAATCATTGCTGAACAAATGTATAGTGTGTGAAAGTGGCTTAAGTGCAAGTTCCAGGACAGTTTCCATTAGCCCAAAGTTTCAACATTAGCCATTTCATTGTGTGAAAAAATCTTAGAAATGCAAAAGGACAAAACAACAACAAATGGTACACATGCATTGCCATATTGGATTAGGACCCTAACCTAAACCCCTAAAAATAATCCCAATAAATAAAATACATTGACTGAAGCGACACGAAAATGGCTGATGGGTCCAGTGTAATGCATTCTTACTGCTTCAAAATATAATATTTAAATAAATAAACTCCATTCATGTGTAAAGATGCAAATTACTGAATGAAAATAATGTATGTATATAATAGTTCCCATTTATAATTCATTTAGTCCTAAATACTAAGTTGAAAGCAAAATCTTAAATATTTTCTAAAATAAAAGTGCTTTCTTAAACTGACGTTTGCTATAATATGCGCCACCGCCATCCATGTTTAACACACAAACTCCCTACAGTGCTTGGCTTACTTAATGCCAAAAGAGACAACCAAACACTGAGGAACTTAAACACACTTGATAACCGAGAAACAGTTTCACGTCACAGAGCATTGGTTTTTGGTAAAAGTTTCACAAATTATGTCATAAGGTATTGTGATGTAATTTGTAAACTTTGTGGTGCTGTATGGAATTTAAAGAAAAGTATGCAAATACAGAGAAAGAAAAATTATGAATATTGTCTGAATCAGATCGGGGCACCCATTACTACTCGTTTGACAATCACCCAAACATTTCTCCATGTTAGGCCCTGTTAACATGTGAACAATGATGCAGCATATAACTGTGAAGGTTACAGTTCTTCCTAATTACTTTTGACTCTTTGTCATAAGAATCACTGTAACAAAGTGTAACAGTTATATTTTGAAGAGTGAACATTCCATCATCAGGATTTAAGAATGCTTTAATTGGGTATTAAAGCAAATCATCGCAAAACTTTGCCGTCCACCATGTCAGTGTCACTTAACATACAGATGAGACAAATGCTTAAATGAATACAATCAATTAGAATGTACCTTATAGATGTCTAAGATAGGGAAAGTGAACCTGATTTGTAATACTAACAATATATGGTTTCAATATTAAAACAAACAAAAAAATATGCCTAAATGCGTAATGTTGCATATAATTATGCGTGTTGTGAAGCTATATTGGTTTTGCAGAATCATCTATATCTTATTACAGAAATGCTGTTTGCTAAAATGAAATGTCATTTAATGCGACAGACATTCTGGGCAATCCAAGAATATTAAACATGGCATTATTCGTGTTTAATCAATCATACGAGTTCGTGACAAAATAATAACATACTATTTACGCTTTGGGTAGGTGCTATTTAAGTTGTTTCGTCTGTTCTATTTTAGAAAAGCGATCACCTGCCCAAATGGAAAATGAATGTCAAGTGAAAATGTAAACATATCCCATCTGAATTTGAGACAGCAAAATACACTAAATTATAAACGACAGTTGATTCTATTTCTGTTTCAGGTATTAACACTCACATATAAGGAAATATGTCCGTACAACTTGCAGTCTCTAAGAGAAAATTGATGAAACTGTGAAATTTTAGTCCTATGGCAGCCGCTTCCCAATCGTTTAGAAGGCGCGAACTGCCACCTAGCGGCGAGTTCTTCTTCCGGCTTGCACCAGTTTGTGACGTAACATCCGTCGATCAAGTTCGGTAACTCGCGGCATGTTCACAAGTGCTCTTTGCTTTAACAACTAAAACTGAAAAAGAGCTTCCCTGACCCATAATAATTCAAAATGCAGTATGATTTCAGAGACGAGAAGCAAGCTCAAGAGTACCTAAAAACTCTCGACATTGAATACAGATTTCAGTGTTACAAGGAAAAGAAACCCGAAGGTCTAGGCCAACTATTCCTGAACTTGCTGCAGTTTCACAGAATTTGTAATTTGTTTTGGTTGTACAATTTCTTCGAATCAACGAAAACACGTGTTAAACAAGTTGTGTCGGCGCTCGACTTGTGACTGGAGGGCTGTATTTTAGTTTTACCGAAAGAAGTAAACATATGCATTTCCGCACAATACTAATTTCGTTTTTGTAACCGACCTATTTATATATTTGACAATAACATCAACAGTGAGAACAATATAGACACGATTTCATCATGAGTGAAAAGAAATCTTTTTCACTTTGATTGAATATGCTCTAATTTGTAAAAACATTTTGTTAAATGTTCATGATTTAAATCTCATTTCTCCCAGACATATACACATGTGACCTCTTGAGGTTACTGGTATGTGAAATCCTTCGCTACAATGTTAGTCCAGTACTTCTTAAACAGCTGATACCCGTCAGTTACAAGTTCAAGGACATGTGAAAAAAATGAAAAGTTTTCAGATTTTTAAGGATGGTATGTTATAGTTTAGAAATGTTATTTTTCAAAGAATTCAATCTGAAGTTAAGGAACACACACACCTGCATTGAATATGATTTATACATAAATGTATGTGCAAGCAGTGTTTCAAGGCAGTATATGTGAACAAAGTGTATCTTGTAAGACAAGAATACGCTCAAGAAATAATGGGATGTTTTCAGAATCTTGCTGTTATTGTCAACATGAGATTTAGGTTTATCTTTTGCAGTGAAGGAGTGTTTTGTAAAAAAGAAATTCAGCTAAATGCTTGCATTAATTTCTTAGGGCGGTGGGGTAGTCTAGTGGTTAAAGCGTTGGCTCGTCATGCCGAAGGCCCGGGTTCGATTCCCCACATGGGCACAATGTGTTAAGCCCATTTCTGGTGTCCCCCGCCGTGATATTGCTGGAATATTGCTAAGAGCGGCGTAAAACTAAACTCAGTCAGTCAGTCAGTCATTAATTTCTTATGTCATTGGCGTTTATAAAGAAATAATTCATTGGAGTAATCAACAATGGTCAAGTGTGTCGGTAAGGTGAAAAAACCTTATCAGTCAGATTACATCAAGGGCGAAACATGTTTCATGAATATGACTAGAGCATCATAAGCGTCGGCACAAAGTATTATTGAATCAAAAGAAGTGAAAGGTGAAATGAAAACTATTGACATTAGATCAAAGTACATACTCGTACTTGGGGAAACATATCATTCATCTTTGTATAATACAGTAACTAAATGCAGTTGGGTAAATTTCAATCAGGATTTGCCATCTAAACCATTAAAGATTAAATCTCTGATGCATCAAATTATAAAACCTGTGTATTAAGGTATTAAAATCTGCGCCTAATTTTGTAGGATGTCAGCGTCTTGCTGATTTCCTGGACAGCATCAGGAAGGACTTTATGCAGGCTGCCACTGTATACAAAGCAAACTGTGAGGACAGCAACTATGGCCTCAGCTGTTACAAGTACGCCAACTATAACATCATGGGGAAAGGTATGTAAAATGATGGACATCTGCCCTTCAATGTAGGCATTAAGAAAGTCTCTCAGTTATGCATCAAGATCTTGTCTCTGTCTTCCATATTAGTGAGCCCATACCCTGGTGACCAACAGTTTCTCCTTGCCTTGTTAGCACTACATGATCATGATTATCCCCTTGGAACAAGGCATTTCACATTTCTCATACATATTTCTGGTGTTTGAGCTGGCATGTTAAGTAGGGCAACGTAGCAGTTCATCACGTGTTTTGTGTGGTTTGATCATATTAAAAGAATGAAATGTGTTGGTGTGTGGTCCTGTGCATAGAGCTCAGATCACAAATCAGTTGAAGTTAAGCAACGAAGGCGCACAGAGTGTCCTTGGATGAGTGCCCATGTTTGGCAGCTTGACTCCTGAGAGTTTCTAGGACATCAGTCCTGCCCCACAACGAAGCACATGTGATACATGTGGTCTCACCTTAGGCAAGCGAGTTTGTTCAAAATTGCCTCTGTTCACCCAGCAGAAAATGGGTACTCAGTGAGATAGTGACTAATAACCTTCTAGCGCCTCACAGGCAGCTTGGGTTATCAAGGGTAATAATGGGCTGCGATTTGATTGTTAGCGCTATGAGCATTCACCTTGTGAAAGGAGTTTAGCTAGACCTAATATTATTGTTATGCACTTTTTGTTTCCCTGCCTTGGGGATAAAACACCGACTGGTCATCTCACAGTATGGTGTGTCTGACTTCCGTGTCTATTCTCAACAATGACTGGTCATCTCACAGTATGGTGTGTCTGACTTCCGTGTCTATTCTCAACAATGACTGGTCATCTCACAGTATGGTGTGTCTGACTTCCATATCTATTCTCAACACCGACTGGTCATCTCACAGTATGGTGTGTCTGACTTCCTTATCTATTCTCAACAACGACTGGTCATCTCAGTATGGTGTGTCTGACTTCCATATCTATTCTCAACAACAACTGGTCATCTCACAGTATGGTGTGTCTGACTTCCGTATCTATTCTCAACACCGACTGGTCATCTCACAGTATGGTGTGTCTGACTTCCGTATCTATTCTCAACAATGGCACAGTATCTCAGTGGGCTGGTACTATCAAACCAGCATTAGTCCAGGCTTGTACAAGCAGTCACACACATATGGATGCACATCACTGAATAAGCAGTCACACACATATGGATGCACATCACTGAAAAGTGCATTATTCTTCCTTATCCTGACTCATGCTAAATACTTGTCTCCCTCTTCTTGCGAATGATAGTGGAACACTTGAAATCCCTTGAAGTTCCCTTCTAAAAAGCGGATGTGAAATCATCACTCATCCCCGAGTAGTCTCCCTTGCCCCCTTTGGCACCCTTTTGGGTCACATGACCAGCCATGTTTGTCACTCTCCTTCTTCGCCCTTGAGGACGGTTGTGAGAGCAACTGGGTCCCTATACGGCACATATCCTTTTCTCTTTTGGACCTTTACATCAAAATTATTGCTATATACGGTTTTAGGATTGTATACTACTAATATGGTTTGAAATCATATCTAAATTATACATTGTTTGACATGTTTTTTCATCGTGTTTACATTTGATGAAAACTTGTAATCGTTGTAGGTACCGGCAGTCTGCGGCTGACCCACATTTATTATGTCCTGATTGCACTACTTCATGTTCTTCCAGCTCTTGCTGTAAATATTGTCAGAATTTAACCACTTTTGAATTTAATAATTACCTCTTTTCCATTCATAGACATGCAAAGGACTCGGTAAGAAGGTATTCACAAGTCATGTCTAAATCGAGTGATTACGCTGATAACCGTGTGTTAACTACTGCTGCCAATGTTCATAATTCCAGTGAACTGCCGAGCGTTTTACGGGGGCAGGTCGCTGTTCCAGTGATGAACTCTGGCTCCAATAAGAGATCGCCGTCAACGGAGCTGTCCTCTTCGCAGATGAGGAAGACTAGATCGTCTTCAACGCAGAAGAAGAAGGCTACAACCCCTAAGACTTTGACGAAGTCTCTACACAGCTCTACGCAGTAGACGAGATCCTTCTCTGCCGAGATTGTACCTCCGGAAGAAGCAGACGTGTATGATGATCCCCCCCATCCTCATACCTGAAGTAACAGTCATCAGCAAGAAGACGAAGCCTGTTTCTACAGCTACATCATCAACTTTATCAGCGCAGACACTGACAGAAGACCTTCTATCAACGCAGATATCAGGTACCAGAGATAGCAGCAGCGTCAGCTCTTCACAATTGCAGCGTGCTTTACAAGAGGCCTCATCGTTATCAGAAGCATCATCAACCCTGCAGCAGTCTCAACAGACATCGCAGAACTTCAACCCGGGGCTGTTTATGCAACAGTTTACAGACCAGATGATATCGATGATGGAACGTCGCTTCGCGCAGAAGAAAGCTGCTATGAAGACCACTACAATGACTACAAGCCTGCGTGAAGATTCAGCAGCCTCTCCAACGCACTTGGAAGACGAGGGAAGCCTGCGCTGAAGGCTAACGCACCCGACGTTCTTCCCCGTCTCAAGCTATGAACCTGGACAACACTACCAACGTCAGCTCAGCCTATGACGTCCCTGAAGGAGCCACTAAAAATTCTTCACGCAGAAGCAGATCTAAATGTTCTCCAGAATCCTACAGACGTCGTAGATATGGATCGTCATCACCATCGGACTCAGACTCACATCAGGTACCTGCATGCAGGCACTCCACATCTCACAGAGGGCAGACTACGCCTAAGAATCAACCTTCACGAAGGCCTAGAGAGAGATCTCAAGACTCCAGGAGGGATACACGATCTCATCGGGATCGTTCACCTGCGCGCAGTTTGACATATAGATCTTCATACAGAGACTCGCGTCGTCATGGATCGTCAGATCGAGAGATGTCTAAATCTGATGAAGAAGGTGAAATCATTTTCTCCGATGTGGAAGTAACCTCATGGATTGCCAATTGCCTGGACAGAGCACCACCTTCCAAGGACACAGACGAAGCGTTTACATACAAGATGTCCAACGATGATTTCGACACACTCACCTTTCCGCCTATCGACCCGATCTCCCAAGTACCAGACAGTCTCAGCTCAGCCTTTGATAAGGCTACCAAGTTCCAGAATCAACATATCCCGACGTTCAACACCAGGAGATTCCCCCTACATCACATGGAACCCTTCCTGAAGGCACCAGAGATTGATGAGGACTACAAGGTCATCAACGACTCCCGCTATAGAATTTACAAGATAGAGGACAAGAAGCTAGCGCAACTGGATACGACTGCTAGACGTACCTTTTTCGGACTAGCCAGGTCTAGGGCTATCAACGAAGCACTCATCTCGAAGTTCAAGAAATCCACCGCCGAAGATGACCGGATGATATATTCTGCTCTACTGACTCAGAAAAAAGGACCACCAGTTTATGTCGGAGCATCTAGCATCCACATAAGTGGGCCTGACTCTCCTGAGGAGACAAGGATTATTGTCAGTGTGCACCTGGAGTGAGCGGTTCACCAAGTCCTTATACAGAGCCCCATGGTCAGCATCATCCATCTCCGGAGGAGGAATTGAAGAAGTAGCCAAAAAGGTTACACACGAATCAAGGGAGGTCATGATGAATAAGTCCATAGATACTTTGGCAAATGTGATTCGCCAGACGTCCAAACGCTACTCCAACAAATCCAAGTTTGGAGGCGTCCAGAGAGCCAGAGAAAAGAAATATTTCAACTCGAGAGGAGGAAGAGGTTCTTTTCGTCGCCCAACCGGAGCCCCCAGAAGCAACCCTGAAAGAGGCCACGCACCCAGAGGTGCCAGGGGAAGCAAGTGCTGAAGGACAGGTTTGGAACAACTGGAGTCTTCCACCCCCAGCCGTTCCCGTACAACCTTCGGCAAGTGGGTGGACGTCTACAACGGTACTGGGAGAATTGGGGAATACTACAGGACGACTACGTATCCAAGATACTACGCAGAGGATACAAGATACAGTTGGAAGCCACTCCGCCGCTTACAAGCAACCTGCTGGCCTTCAACTACGCAGCCGACCAGACAGAAACTGGACGAAGCAGTCAAGACTTGACTCGACAAAGATGCAGTCAAAGATGTAAATCAAGATCTCATCACGCCCGGTTTTTACTCCCCAATTTTCCAAGTACCGAAGAAGAATTCCAAGAAGAAGTTTTGGCTCATCTACAACATGAGGAAGTTCAACCGGGAGTATCTCCGCAGACCGGCAAAATTCAAGATGCTACATCTTCCTCAGCTCCGACATCTCGTTTGTCCATCAGACTACCTCGCCAGCATAGATCTACAAGATGTTTACCTACACATCCCGACACATCCAGACTCAAGGAAATACCTAAGATTCCTTTTCAACGGACATCACTTCCAGTGGAAGGTTCTACCGTTTGGAATATCGTCGGCCCCCTGGCTGTTTACTCGAGTGACAAAGCCCATCGTCACATATCTACATCGTCGAGGTCTATGCAGTGCTTTTTACCTGGATGACGGAATTCAAGTTCATCACGATCCCAGTCAACTCAGACTGCAACTAAACTTCACCATCAGGCTTCTCACTCAGTTAGGATGGCTGGTAAATGTCCTCAAGTCGGAACTGGAGCCGAAACAGGATATTCAATTTCTAGGAATACGACTGTCATGCCGGTGAATCGCATAGTCATCCCAGAGGATCGTTGGGTCAAGATATAACATATGATATCTCAAGCAATGCTCTCTCTGTTGACACTATGTGCTTGGCAAAGCATGCTCGGTCTACTCACCTCAGCTCAAGACATGACTCGTAGAGGGAGATTACAGTTGCGCCCACTACAAATATTTGTGAACGCCCATCTCGACAGTTTGGATCCGCTGATACTACCGGACAGCCTGAAACCATACCTCCTACGGTGGACTCAGAAGTCAAATGTTTGCGGAGGAACCTTTTTGTCAGAGCCGGTTTGCAACACTCATCTTTACTAGATGCATCACTGCAAGGATGGGGTGCTCACCTCGACAACGAAGTGGCAGCAAGGAAGTGGTTGAGTCAGGATCAGAGTCTGCACATCAACCTGTTGGAGATGAAAGCAGTGATCAATGCTTTACAACACTGGTCCAGCGTACTAAGGAACGCAAGGCTCACAGTCCACACGGACAACTCCACAGTAACGTTCTACATCAACAGACAAAGATCAACAAGCCTGCTAAAACTCAGCTTTCTCCTGTTCAGCATCGTCGATGACCTGAACATCTACATGAAGGCATGCCACTTTCCAGGAGCCAAGGATGTCATAGCGGACGCCCTATCTCGTCCACTACAACCATCCCCGACGGAATGGATGTTACACCCAGAAGCGTTCCGGTTCGTCATACAGACAATAGGATCTCCACTGATAGACCTGTGCAACTACCAACATTCGTCTCACCGATTCCGGATCCTCAGGCATGGGCAACAGATGCTTTAAGCAACTCATGGGAAGGACTAAACGCTTATGCGTTTCCAGCACTTTTACAACAAGTAATGCAGAAAATCAAGCAGAGGACAATGTTGCAACTGATTTTGGTCACGCCCTATTGGCCAGCGAGGGTATGGTTTCCCGTCCTCATACGAGTCCAACCCTGAAACTACCAGAGTGGTCGAACCTGCTCGTCCATCCACACACCAAGAAAGCTCACGGGAATCCGGCATTGTTCCAGCTACACGCATGCTGCATGTCAAAGCTTGCCTGAAGACAAGAAGGTACTCCGCCAGACCAGCGAAAGCAGTAACACTACGCAGTAACTCTACACAGATCAACTCGCAACTTGTACAACGACAAGTGGCAGAGATGAACAGTATGCAACAGTATGCAACGAGGAAAGGCTTTCGACGGTAAAAGCAACCCATCCTCAAGTGGCGGAATACTTGTGTCATTTGCGACAGACAAGACACCTAAAAGGTTCAACACTCTCAACGTACCTGGCTGCTCTCAGCACAGTTATCACCATGAAGACGGGTGTCAAGCTGACCAAGGTACCAGAGATGCTGGCACTACTACACTCGTTCAAGTTGGAAGACCAACAGAAGAAATTCAAGGCTCCTGCCTGGGATCTCAACATGGTTCTACAACATCTCACTAGTGACGCCTACGAGCCTCTAGAACGCACATCCTTTGCACTACTGACACAGAAAACGCTGTTTCTGATTGCCCTAGCCTCAGCAGCACGGATGTCAGAAATACATGCTCTGGACTTTGAACGAACACGATTTGAATCAAGACATCGTGACATTGTACATCTAGGACTGAGATGGGACTTTATTGCCAAGAACCAACAGCCTGGCCAGCCTGAAAGACAGTTCCACATCCCAGCACTTTCTACAGTCCTTGGGCCACAGGATACACAGGATTTATCCTTATGCCCTGTCAGAGCATTGAAAGTCTACCTACAAAGGACAAAACAAGGAGACTAAAATTCAAGCGCGCCTATTCATCCCCTTATCCACTGAGACGCCCACGGAATTCTCATGGACAACTATATCGATTTGGATGAGAGCCGTCATACTAAGGGCCTACAAAGCAGCAGGACTTGAGCCTCCACGAGCCTCCAATCCCCACGAATTCAGAGCCTTGGCGTCTACACTTGCTGTTCATGGAAACTGCTCGATTACAACAATAATGGAGGGCTGCTTTTGGAAATCGAATACGGTGTTTTCCAACCACTGCCTCAGAGACATTGCCACCAAAGACATCTCAGGCATTCACCAGTTTGGGCCACTTGTTGTAGCACAACAACTAACGGTTCAACAAAGGTGCTGAGAAAAAATCTCATCCTTTTATCACGTGACTTGTGAAAGCCAACGCTCTGGGGAGCAAATGGTTAAAGTCCATGCACACGTCTAGGACAGGCTAGCATGAGTGATAGACCCTGTACTTGTATACTACTTACTCGTACATGAAGAAGGGTCGCATCTCCACTTGATGCGCATCAAGAGATGGAGTTGCAATAGATAACATTAGTATATCTAAATCCACACGAATATGTCAGGTGAAGTTTCGGAAGAAATCTGACAAGTTGTGGTTTCCCCGACTCATCAGAGGGAAGTTGGAAGAACAGAATCATCAGCAGTGCCGTCATAAGTTCCCATGGGGGTAATACAGGACGTAAATCAACAGCCAGTGAATCCAGGAAGTGGCCTGACCCACCACGATTCCGACGGATTCTGCAAGCATTTAGCATGAGTCAGGATAAGGGAAAATATGTAATTTTCTGACTAAAATTAATATTTTATACTTATCCTGACTCATAAGGTCAGCCCTCCCAACCTCCCCTCTCAGGGCACTCTGGATTTCCCTGTAAATCTGGGTGTCGGGCGTACAAACAGAGAGAGTGACAATCATGGCTGGTCATGTGACCCAAAGGGGAGGCAAGGGAGACTACTCGTGGGTGAGAGATGATGTTACGTCCGCTTTTTAGAAGGGAACTTCAAGGGATTTCAAGTGTTCCACTATCATTCACAAGAAGAAGGAGACAAGCATTTAGCATGAGTCAGGATAAGTATAAAATAACAATTTTAGTCAGAAAATTACATTATTCTGAAGACGACATTAAAACCCATTTCATCCTGAGTGGGAGTGCAGGTATGTGCTTCTCACCTTTTAGAAGCCTACTGATCATATAATGGATATATACTGACCACATAAAGAAACTGTGCACACAGAAAATATAAAGATAGGCAGACAGCGTCTTTATACATAAATAAAGGTGTGAACATAGCAAGTATTGGAGACAATCAAACGCTCATGCAGGTGCTAGGCGATGTGACGTCATTGATGGTGGCCTATAGACTTACAATGTGTTACTGCACGTGCAGCCTGTGCAGCTGCACACAACATGTGAAACTCAGAAATTGCTGTCACTGTCGAAAGCTTGATCTTTGGTCATTCAAACGTTCACAAATTCACATGAGAAGTCACATGCACATCATTCCAAGATTAACATCTGCTCAACGTCATGAAACCATTGGAATGGTTCGAGCAGGCATGAGCAAGCATGAGCCAACAACAGGTGGCAGCACATTTCCAATGCCATCGTAACATGATATTTGCATTGGTCAGGCGTTATGGAAACAGTAATGACGTCGCCGACCACCCACGTTCTGGGCGTCCCCATGTAACGACTCCAAGACAGGACAGATGGATTTGGGTGACTCATCTCAGACACAGGTTCCAGACAGCAGTGACCACGTCCCAAACCATTCCCCAGGCCTTTTCAATGCTCATTTAGTAGCCTCTATGCATCGACGATGCATTGCTGTGCTTCACGCGCATGATGGTCAAACCCGTTAATGACTTTGTGACTCTGCCATGTGACCCCCTGCTCAATTTTGAACTTCTGACGTCAAACGTTACGGATATTGTTCATGTTCTTTTGACGTTGTTGTGGCCCAATACTTCAGCTTATAAAGTGTCTACATCATTTCGTCCTTTCTGTGTTGTATTCCAATGCTGAAGGAATGTTCTGTGGGCACAGTTTCTTTATGTGGCCAGTATATAACAGATTTTTCAGAAACAAATGCAGACTGTATCCTGAATTTTGTAGTAGCATTTTTGCATGTTTAACTGACTCTCTCTCTCTTGAGTGGTGTGGTTATGACTTACTATAATGTAATCAATGTAAAAATGGACAACACCTTATGTCTACCATGACCCTTGAAAACAGTGATGAATTTTCTATCTTTTACCATGGAAATCAAAATCTGAAACTACTTCAGAGTGAGTAGAATAGCATTTCATATAATTTGCTAAATACTAGAAAAAAAACCACAAATAAAATTCTGTTTAACATTTAAAAAACAGTGGTTAGTTCAAGATGTTTTCATTTCTGACAGGCTGCCATTTTCAAATATTTATTTTCATGTTAAACATCACAGGTATGGAGAAGAATGAGAAAGAGGCAATGAAGTATTACAGTAAAGCTTGTGAGCTCGACCATATGCCAGCATGTCACAGCGTCGGCCTGATTCACGGTAGCAAGAAGATCTGCCCCCCGGATGACATGGGGGCTGCATTGAAGATGTTTATGAAGGCATGTGACAAAGACTTCGTTCCCAGCTGCTACTACATCAGCGGCATGTACATCAGGGGCAGTGACAAGGTGCCCAAGGACATGAAGAAGGCCTCAGACTTCTCCAAGAAGGCATGCGAAATGGGTCACCTGTACGCATGTTCCAACCTCAGTCAGATGTACAGGAAGGGAGAGGGAGTGGAGAAGAGCACCAGTTTGGCAGACAAATTCGAGGAGATGGCGAAGGAGATACGAGATGGTCAAACTCGAAAGGAAAGAACTATAAAGTTTGGTGAATAGGAGTGTAGTTCATATTAAACATAGCTCATGAGACATTACATACCTTTAATATTCTGTGTGATTTGTGTGATTTTTAGTGTACTTGACCAATCAAAAGCGATTGTTTGGAGTGGATGAAAAATCAGAAGATTGTAGGTATTTGAGAGACATTTACATATCTATTTTTATTAGGTGTTTCGTAATCATTTGTCATGGAAAATACATAAATCAAGTGTGAAAGGTGAGTTGATATTTAAAGTTCCATTTACAATATTTCATCCATGTCTATTGAGACAGTTGGATGCTCTCTGTTCAACATGTTTGTATTGCATATCTGATGACAGGATTGTATTAATATCTACTGGAGAAGGTTCATAAAACAAGCACTGAGCTGTCGGCCACATGTGGTATACTTGTGCTGCCTGTTGAGATGCACTCCTTTGTTGCTAGGGTCATCTAACATTGGGTTTGAATTTTAGCACACAAACCATCATCCTCAGTCAGACTGTAACATCAAATTATTGAGGGTATGTCAGGCAAAGGGTTCCATTGTTACATACTCCATGAAATTAGAGACTTGACATTCACATTATTGATAATAATTTTGAGAGAGGTAATTCAATTTAGTTTTTTGTTGTGCCATACATATGGTAATGACAAGCAAGCTATTTTAATGTGTTTGGCGACTGACATGAAAAATTTGGTCTATAAGACTGGAAAATGTGTGACAGACAATAATCACATGTAGCATGTCACATGATCCCCTAAGCAATCACACATGCATTGGAATGCATGCTCACAGACATTGCTCACAGGAAAATACATCAAAATTGCAAGTATAAACCAAAAGTGAGATGGCAGCGTGTGCCACTGGTAGGCCTAATGCTTGACAGTTTGAAGCAGCAGTCATCAGACAATACATGGTTGAAGATCACACAATGCCTAGGGCAATACATGGGACATTACACAAAAATGATGTTCAAATCAGGTTAGGTCATCTCTGCCACAGATTTGTGACTGCAGTCTGCAGAAGGAGACAGTTGTTCAGAGGAAGGGTGTCAGCTCAGACCATCAAGATATTGAGTGCGCACAGCAGGTATCCAGCTAGGCGACCATTGGGGGATCATGTAATGTCATGATTTATCTTGCCAATAGAATGATGCCACAATCCACTTTTTATCATCTGTGTTGTTACCTTGATGGAAGCAGAATGATAAACATATTCTTACATAATAACTAATATGCAGCGTCCATCGTGCCAAAGTTGTGTCAAGTTTATAAGTTGGTTGGGTATATTTCAAGTCACCCTCAGTGTATGTTTCTAGAGACCCAGGTGGCCCAATCATCTAATACCCTGTTCACATGCACAACACTTTGTCAAATAAATACTTTAGCACATATGTAACAATTCATTTGTTTTTATGTAAACTAAGGTGTGAATATGGCACATACATGATGCAAGGCTAATATGCTGTCTATAAAATGTCATTTTCCAGTCAATTTAATGATAACAATAATAGTCCATTTATCATGCACGTTGCAAGATGTCTGCATAAATGTTGTTTATGGTTTCAATATATTTTCCTTTCTGAGTAAATCTGAATGAGTTAAAAAGCAATAACTGCTTATGTAAAAACCTCTCCAGGCATTGTTTACATGGTAAAGGATGTATATACAGAAATATACAATGCCAGTACTTGTGTATCTGGAAGTCAGTGGTGTCTGTTGAAAAATACAATAGTGCAATCATCTTTTCTATATGAATTTAAAAATTGCTCAAATTCTTTTCTTTTGACAACAAAAAATCTGCACTTGATTTGCTTGATCTGAGCTGTCAGATACTGATGAAGCAGAGTTGAAATTCGATTGAAAAGATTTTAATGAGTTAAAGTTACTAATTTGACAGTCATGACAGTTTATTGTCATTTTCAGTGTCCAAGTCTTATGTTTGGCCTTCTGTGTTGTGAAATGATTGAAGGGTGTCAATGTTAGTATAACTACTTACTGAAATATTGCTATGAAATATTGATTTAAGATCATATGAATGTATGTACAAGTGCATAGTATTTCTGATATTATCAAATATTATGACAAGAAAAGAAAAACCTAGTTGCATCCTCCAAGGCATTCCTGCAAGTGTAGTCTGGTCAGTCATGGCATCTAACCTCATCTAAGTCTCTGCAGTCACGTCCAGATTATTGATAATTATATCAGAACAATTACTTAAGGATTTTAAATTGTTTTAGTGAACATGCATTAGTTGCTTTGTCAGGTAGACTGTTCCACAGGTTAAAGGTATCTGGAGAAATAATTTTTCACAAGGCTGGGATTCTACATTTTATTGTTTGCAAGTTTGATCTATTTCTCAGGTTCTAATGGCTATTTTCATACACTTGATTAGATATGAGATCGTTGACATATTCAGGTGATAAACCATTTCTCATATTGTAAAATGCATTTATTTGAAATCTTTGTTCTTTTAAAGAATGAAATTTGTTGTTATAAATTTGGCATGACTATTACCATAAACTGCCCCACATGGAGTTGTCATGATGGCAAATGCAAATTGTCTTAAAAATAATTATCTCCCGCCAGAAAGTGGGAGGGGGATATAAGTTTGAGCTCTGTCCGTCCGTCTGAGATGATGGGGTCAGATTTTCTCAAAAAAAGTTATAGATAGGGAAACCAAATTTGTTTTACGGAGAGGGTGTTCTAAGTTGTATAACTTGTACCCAATCCTTTTCTCATGAATAAAATATGTTTAAAACAAAATAAATTTGTTATGTGATTTCAGGACATGGATGCCTTGATGGAGTTCGAAAATTGAAACTGTGTTACAATGTGTTACAGAGTTCTGGCCCTTGTCATGCATTTCTTGACTTAGTGCATGTTATCCCCAATCGGGATAGATTTTCTCAGAAACCATGATAGATAGGAAAACCAAATTTATTTTGTGTTTTCAGGACATGAATGTCTTGATGGTGTTCGAAAACAGAAACTGTGTTAGGATTCTTTACAGAGTTATGACCTTGTCATGCATTTCTTGACTTAGTGCACATTATCCCCAGTGGGAACAGATTTTCTCATTTAACTTACGTAGCGTTTTTTGTAGGAAGAATGAAAAGTTGTCAAAACAGGAACAGAACACTGTGGTGGGGATATTGATGACCAAGTATGGTAACAGTAGTCGAAGATAAGGAGAACAGATGTTGACAAAATATCAAGCATATTTCTAGTCAGTCTGCACTTAAAGCTCCTTGATTATTGTACTAACTTTTCTAATAGTTTTGTTGATTTGTATTTTCCATGAACAATCATTGGAAGTGTAATACTTAAATGTTAAGGACATCGTACTTCATTATAAGAGTATCCGTCATGTATTAATTTGGTCCAACACCAGGTAAACAGTTGTTAATGCTGTATCCTGAACAAGACAACTTCAAAATTTGTGTAAATTTGCATGTGCATCTGCTGCAGACATGGTGCAGATTGATATACACGAATAAACTACTTGACAAGTTTACTTATGAGTATATTCATGCATGTATGCAAATATACGTAAAGAGACATATGAACAGGTAATAGGCCCAGCAAATGTCTGTGCAGGATTGTGTCACTTGGGTACGCCATATCTGAATGAATGTGGTTTGACTCCCAGTTTGCACTGATTACGATTCCTAGGTTCGTCATCACCATTACCCAACACCTGCATCATTCCCCTGGCTTCTCTTTCCCCCCATCAAACTAACAGGCAGTTATAAATATTGTTCAAAGCTGCTTAAACCCAACTCATTATATGTTTTTCTTACTTTTACCTATAGTGGTACATACCTCAAGTTTGTTTATTTCACATTTAAGTTACGAAAACAAGAGTTGATGTCATTATTTCCCAATTGTTTTTAAGAAGCAATTTTGGCTGTGAGCTGGGATTAGTAATATTATTTATTTGTAACCTGTTTGAAGAAAAGTGAGAAATGCAAAATATACATGTTAGTTTTCATTATCCAAGGTAAAGCATGGAATAATTGTGTGAATAGATGTGAAAGATTTGTGTGTTGTTGATTGATTGTATTATATAAAGTTGTTTTATACAAATAATTTTGTTTTTTGTCTTTTTGCAACAAACAGTTGCTTGCTCCAAACGTAATATTTTGGTCCAATTGTAGAACCATTCATTGAGAACACGAACACGAACATGGCTGACAACTTGCCATGAGATGTAATTATCAGAGATAGGGTTGCCCTGAGCTTTGATAAATATGGCCGGATTTCCTGATCTATGATCAGCAGCGATACAGTTGCTCTTAGCTGTTATTAGCAAGGTGAGTTAACAGCTGCCTTTAGCAATATTCCAGCAATATCACAGCAAGAGACAACAGGTCTTCACACATTGTACCCATGTAGAGAATAAAACTGGATGTTCAGCATGACATTCTAACGCTTTAACCACCAGGCTACCATACAACCCTAGCAGCAGGGGTGTTTGCTGAGCTGTTACCAGATAGGATATGGTTGCCCTGGCTGAGGTATGATTTTCCCAAGTTTTTCTGTGGTCAGCAGAGATAGATTCTCTGATCCAAGACATTTTGTACATGGTTGCAATGAGGTTTGACTAGTTATGACATGGTTGCCCTGAGTAATAGTTCACCATGAGCAGGGTCCAGGCTATTGGGGCATGCAAGGGGTACCCAGCCCCTTTATAACCACCCACCAGTTCCAGACTACCTTCATGTACTTGGGTTCCCAGCATGCCCATGTGATAGTTGTTAAAACAGATTCACATGGATGCATTCAAGTCGAACAGGGTCCAGATGTACATTATGTAATCAGTGTCATTTGTGCAACATTTCTCTGTGTAATTAAGTGTCAGCTGTTAAGACTGATAATCAGGATACGAGTTGAATTAACATACTAAGAAAGGTGTTTTGAGTGTTTTTCTAGGACATCGGTTGACTTTGGCATAGTCCCTCCAGTGTTCACTGACGTGTGTCATCTTACACTGTATAGACTAGTAGGGGCAAATATAAAACTGGAGGGATAGTGAATGCATCTTGTTCAGATGACAGTCACTTTACACAAAAAATTAACATACAGCGTCCCTGTGTATAGGAACCTGGGTCAAAATAGGTGAACTAATATAAATTGTCTCTGAGAATATGATCCAAGGGCTGAATAGTTGAACTAATATTGTGTTCCTAATTAATATCCCCAGACTGTATAGGTGTACTGATATACAAATGTTTAGAATCTTCAGTCAGAATAGGTGAACTAAAACTCTTATGTCCCTGTGGAGGGGAACTAATATACAAGGCCTTCCATATGTATGATCCGAGTGGAGTTTAGTCACCAATCATCCTACCCATGACGTAAGATATGACTGGGCATTTAGTGTGCAGTGTGCAGGTGTTTCTCATCATCCCAAAACATGCCGGCTGATTCAGTAATCATATATTGGTTTGGCTGGTCCAGGATCTGGTGTAGATTTAGTGCACTACAAATAAGCACAGCTGATGGATGGTCAGTTTCAATGGTCTGGGTGTTATTGCAATTCTTAATCATTAAACACATGTGATACATGTCTCACCTTTGGCAAGTGAGTTTGTTCAAAATTGCCTCTGTTCACCCAGCAGAAAATGGGTACCGGGTGGGATGTCATATGACTATAACCTTCTAGCGCCTAACAAGCAGCTTGGGTTATCTGGGGTCATAATGTGCTGTTTGTGTGTGCTTTGAGCATGCCCCTTTGTGGTGTGGAGTATTTTGTGGTATAAGTACCCTCATTATTATTATTAACTCTAAACGTCAAACACGTTTATTCAGTCTCTTCCACATCTGCTAACAAATTTCTGTCCTCATTTGCCTGTCTGTCTCTATAGGTTCCCAGGCGGACTCGATTCTGAGTATTATGCTGGGGGTTGGTTATGCTTGGTTTGTGCAATGCTTGAAATTATCTGAAGCTGAGGTGCATCAGGTTGAGGCACAAACCCTTACTCCAGAAGTAAACAAACAATCTGCACTTGATTCAGTCTATGGGTCTGAGCTTTCAGATACCGATGAATCAGGCTTGCGAATTCGATTGAAAAGAATTTTAATGAGCTAAAGTGACTATTTGACAGTCATAAAGTTTATTGTCATTTTCAGTGTACAAATCTTGTATGTACGCCCATCAGTTGTTTTTACGTTAGTCAAAATTCTGGACCGGGGCACATTTATTCTTTGGTCAAGTTGCCAGTCCTCCTTCATGCATTATTGGGTTGTTTTCCTGTTGATCAGGCCCATTTCCGAATTGTCCCCATCCATGGTCAGATAAAGGAATTTTGAGGGTGGGGGGTGGTTTCCAGGGGGTTCGAACCCTCTGAACCCCCCATTGTCTCCGCCAACGCAAAAACAATCTTCAATGTGGTCTTAAGTCATTTTCAAGAGGGTGGGGTTCGAACCCCCTGAAACCCACTCTGGATCCGCCAATGCCATCGAAACCTCCCCATCAAACAATAAATCCATTATCCCTCTTGCATAACTCTGGTCTATCTGCCCTTGGTTGGCGCATATACAGTACACACAACACCATTATATTCTGGATGTTAAATACCTTTATTGTTTCATTTGATCAACTCTGCATGTGTCACCTCGGGAATTATCTACAGCTCCTGCGTGTAGTGTCTGGTTATGCAACTTCCGGCTGTATCTATAAAAAGAATTTCATCACTATAATGTTTACGCAACGTCTTTGATTTACCCTCCTCCCCCGACAAAACTGCCTTCGAACACATAAATGACTAATATTTGCTCCTCGATGCACTCTCATTTTTTTATCACATAGTTTGTTGTAGTAAATTCTCGTAAATAGTGGAATCTGATAAAAATGGAAAAAATTATGTCGTATCCTTGTGAACTGAACCTCTCAATTCCTTTTTCACCAACAAATCAAACTTTATGAGACAACAACACTTTCTTTGGGTAGATATCTAATCATAGGCGGATCCAGAGGGGGATGCAGGGGTGCGCACCCCCCCTTTTGTGCTGAAAGTTTGTTAAATGACCATTGAAACTCGGGTGAAAATGAAGTGTGCACCCCTCCTTTACTCAATAGTGTGCCCCCCCTCCCTCTCTCTCAAAAAGCTGTATCCGCCCCTGATCTAATGTTGTTTCACCAAAATGCAACACGAGGTTTTGCCACAGCATGTTATCAAATACACATTCAGTATTTCAAACGTCCCTGTCATATTGTGATGAATTGTCGCCCCTGAACGGTTATCACCAGAGGGCGCTGAGCGCTCTACATCGGTTCTCGCAAATGATTGGATGTTTTTTAGGCGGGCAAGTAAAATTTCGATCCACTTCCGGTCTATATATACAACATTCGCCCGCCATATTATTAGCATTCAGGCTGCATTCGTGACGGTGACAGTAGCGTAAATATTTTCTGAAACAAAAATGTCAGGCCGTGGTAAAGGTGGAAAAACAAAGGCAAAGGCTAAGAGCCGTTCAACAAGGGCTGGGCTGCAGTTTCCAGTCGGCAGAATCCACAGATTGCTCAGAAAAGGAAATTATGCAGAACGTGTTGGTGCTGGTGCTCCAGTCTACCTGGCTGCTGTTCTCGAATATCTAGCGGCAGAAGTTCTCGAGTTGGCGGGCAATGCAGCCCGTGACAACAAAAAATCCAGAATAATTCCAAGACATCTTCAACTGGCCATCCGAAATGACGAGGAGTTAAACAAACTTCTTTCTGGAGTGACCATCGCACAGGGAGGCGTGTTACCAAACATCCAAGCCGTGTTGTTGCCTAAGAAAGCCGCAGCTGCTGCCGCCAAAGGAAAGAAGTCATCCCAATCGCAAGAATACTAAATTGAGAGGCGTGAATTGTGCTGTTGACATTTTTAGCCAGGACACTGAACATTTAGTTGGCCAACACCGTGCAACTTGCAAGCACGATCTGTTGAACCAGCTCGGCAGACATTTGTGTTTCCCGCCAAGTGTGTGATACCAGGTCATCCATTGAAGGGGTACCTGTGTTGTGAAATCAAACATTTTTAACTCATTCTATTCGTCTTAATTCATACTTCATCGTCCTCTGCATGTTTCTTTTAGACTTAAACATTCTTTTTTTGTGTCTTTAACCATTTTGTCATATGACTCATTGATAATCTTGTTGCACAGAACATATCATTTCAACTGAAACCTGTTCTAAGACACATTCATCTTTTATCCTCCTCTCATTTGTTGAAGAATCGTATATTTACGACATAAATTTACATGTACATATTCTTGTTGTGTCTTTTATATCTGCTTGGATAAACCTTGCTTTAGGTTTTCCATAACCTAACAAGATTTTTTAAATGCGAATATCCAGTTATTTGATATTTTAAATTGCAAGGCAGGGGTTACAGGTGGAAGTGTTGACTGACACTCAAAGCAGTTCTACAATTTCAGTTTCTCTGAAACTATAGAACCTCCAAAAGAAACGATTGAAATCCATGTTGCATGTTTCTGGATTAGTCCGGTTTGTGTGTATAGTTTGCAAGTTCATATAGTAATGATTCATCATGATATGGCTGAGATATTGCCGTTAAATATTAACTTGCTCACTCTGGAGTAATGATTCAGTTCAGATAATCCTTTAGAAAATGGCGTGAAATCCCTGATCTGAAACTGCCTATGGACTGAATGGGTGTACAAGAGCATTTCTGTGACATCTACCCATGAAATTCACGGGATAAAATTGTGGTCTTCAGCAACCAATGCTTGTAAGAATAGAATAACGGATTGGGTGTAGTGGGCGAGCTTGAGGTGTCGTGATTGTGCCTACCTGTGACCGTGTTAAAAAACCTTCGAGTCAACTTTGTGTGCAGATTCTTTCAGTGTTGTCACAACCCTTTAAGTACTGTCGGAAATAGAAAAAAACCTGTTTTTAGGCTGTTACTCTGTATCCCCAAAATATACACAACTGCGAATAGCATATGTCGAAATATCTCACTTCGGCCTAACTTGGCGTTCAGTGGGATGCGTAATAGGATATCCAGAAAAGCATGTTTACTCGTAAAAATCGGGCAAAACTTAGAAAAAATACGAATAGCTGCTGAAAACAATAGATCAGACTATAGATGGCAATTAGGTCGCTCAGCCAGGTATGACGATGGATCGTCGACTCGCCTGGCATGAAATGCATGTGCTGCCTACAGGCACAAGGGGGCATCTCAAAGATATTTTGTGCTTTTTCATGTGTGCTGACTAGGTCTCACCTATTGATTGCTCTAAAGGATCATCTTATCTTAGCTGATACTCTATCCCCTAGCCCGACCCCAACGATTGTCTGCGACACCCCTAGGTTTTGATTTTGAGATGAACTGTTTCTTTGTATAGTGACAGTGAGACTCCATGGAAGCTACATCCTTAACAGTTTCAGCATGAAAGTTATTATTTTTACGCCAGCTATCGTTTATAATGAATTTACGTCTAAATTCAAATTGGGCATTTAAAAAGTGTCCTTTGAAATACAATATCGTCGCACACTAATTTGCATAAAGCCATGGTGGGTTCCAAATAAATCGCATTGCTCATTTCTGCTCTAATCTCTCCTCAGTAAAGTCCTTTTTCTACGTTTCCTATGTCCCTCCCACTGAGACTGTAGTTAGGCCGAACTTAGTTTAACAGATATTTCACACTTGCACATATCAACTACATAAATTGTAGAGATAAATGAGAAAATACAGTTTTTATCTATTTCCGACACTACTTTAGTGTACAGTACACAACCCTGTGCACTTAAAAGAACCCACAAATCCATTCGTATATGACCAGATTGTGGCCACATGATTATGTGCAAACACCTAGTTGTGGTTACAGCAATGTGCAGTAAAACTTTGACAAAGTTGAAAGTACTGTGACAATGTGTCCCAGTCCACCCAGCTGTGAATGGGTAGCTCGTAAGGATGAGAAATCTGCAATAACTTGGTGCGCCTAGTGGCTGCAAGAGTTGTATGATCCTTGGGTAGTTGAGATTGATAATACGATGTGTTGTTGAGATTGACATCCAATGATCAAGGGGAAAGTATACCAGCGCCTTGAGTATGTAGTTTCGCGGATATGTGGGCTATATGAATATGATATAATAGTCTCTCACAGTCCCTGAACCACATTATTTTCTTTACTGCCAAGCCCCCACCCTGCAATGCTGAAGTTCTACATGAAGCAAGTCCAGATTTCCTCAGGTCCTGAATCTCCCATCTCACTGGGGCTTAAAGGGCAATCAGGTGGTCAAACTCGCTGACTTTGTTGACACATCGTCACATCTCAATTGTGTAGATCAATGTTCATACTGTTGATCACTGGATTGTCTGGTCCAGACTTCATTATTTACAGGCCGCCAACTCAGTGTTGAACAACCAACAAACCTTTTCAATTCACAAATGGGATTATTTGTTATCAAAACTACACATATTTTCAAAACTTAATGTTAGTTTAGATTGGGTAGTCAAGTTTGCTGACTTGGTTGACATATAGTGTTTATAGTACACAGATGTTTATCTCTCAACCCAGTTTGGACTGACTGACTGACTGAGTTTGGTTTTACGCCGCTTTTAGCAATATCCCAGCAACATCACGGCGGGGGACACCAGAAATGGGCTTCAGACATTGTGCCCATGTGGGGATTCGAACCCGAGTCTCGCCATGCGTGTGAGCCAATGTTTTAACCACTAGGCTACCCCCACTTCCAACCCAGTTTGGAAAATAGGGAATATCAGCATGTGTGATGGTTTTTGTTTCTGGGACAGAACTCTATAAAACCACTGAATATTTCTTGATGAAACCAATTATAAATATCAGTGTAGTGGGGAACTGGTGCCTTTTTTATAATTTGGGATAATTGACAAAAGCATTGAAAGGGCATATTATTTATAATGGGTCCTGATTATGTATTTAAAAAACTTACAGGACCCAATGAGAACAAGATGCCAAAGTCCATTTCCAAAATACACCAGGCCAGCTTGAGAGAACAAACACTTTATAGTCTACAACTTCAACTGATCTGAATCAGTACACAAAGTTCAAGTCCATATAACAACATTAATGAAAATGACCTTGAACATTCTGTGACCCAGATCACTATAGCTGAAAGCATCCTTGATAAACACCTTGTACCCATTCACTGAGTGTAGAATTTACTGGATCATTGATGCTGAGCTGTGAGTTCCTTCGTACCAGGTGAATCCAATCAGTATAAGTATCTTCCAATAAAACAAATAAAAATATTAGTGTATATTTTAATGACTTTATTATATTTGTCCCAATACTTCCAAGTGGTGTTTCTACATGTTAAGAATTCAATGTCATGGTACACCTGTAAACATTCAGACATGCATAAAATATATTCAGACAAACCAACATTTTGAAATTCTGACACTATATTAAATGAAATGAATCACAAATGCTATCTGAAAATGTCTGCAGTATAGACAAAATACATTATTTTGAACTTGCTCCTATTTAGATAATGTTTTTTCAAACTACTCTTAGACATCTATGTTTTTGTAGCCTTATCGACACTGTTGTGGGAACCTTAGTACATCAACAACTGTGACCACTACTGTAGGCTACTACAACATTTATAGGGAACTGGTCAAAACAGTTTGGATCATTTGAAAAATATACAGTTGTAATGTCAGATAATGTGAATGGGTATATGGATCTGATATCTACTTAGAGACATCTTAAGATTGTGTTGACTTAATGCAACCATCATAATTGTTTTTGTCATCATTACAATACAAAATCCCAAAGGGTTCATTACACACATGTCCCAAACAAAACTTAGACATATCCATTTGCATTTTTATACCTTACATGTTGGACTCCATACAGGTAAAAACTGTTAAACCTGACATCCCTCTAAGGGTGATATGCTCCATAAATACTGCTGAGATAAACACAAGACAAAGTGAGAACAGCACAAAGTCAGTTTGAGATAAGCACTAAATTAGTTAAGGCCACAGTTCTAAAGTACTTGGGTTATGTTGTTTTGTTGTCAGTGCCTGACTTAAAGTTGCAAAAAACATTTCTTGGTGAGTGACCTAATTAAAAGATTGTTATGGTGAAATAAAGTGAAAAAACCCTTCAATATCTGTCTACTTACATTACATGAAAATCACACATTACTGAATATTTGTAAGACTTGGAGGAAAGATTGTACTGATGGACACTATATGTGTATATTGTGAAATCCTGTTAGTTGATTCTTAAACCAAATGCTCCAAAAGAGAAGCACCCTCCTTCAACATGTAATATACACCTTACCCCACAAACAAACTCCATAGTGAAATGAATATGACTGATCAATTAAACATTTAATACTGGAAAATATACATGTCAAAATCATAACAAATAACCTTGTTCTGAGACAGCTGCTTGTTCAGGAACAACAATATAGTTTATATCACCACAATCAATAACCAGATTCCAACTATCACAATGGCTATTTCAACTTAAAAGGTAAATAATTTGCCTTTTCTGACACCCATAAGACTAATTAATAAACTGACAGGTGGAAATTACATTCGTGAAAGATAAAAAGATAAGCATAACAAAAGGCAGGTACAGTGGAATCATCTCTCGAGCCTGATGTGAGTCTGAACATAGTTTCAGTAATATCAAAGAATGATGGGAGTCCAGCCCAGTGACAGGATAGAGATTTTGTAACTTTGTTACCACTTTCAAAATACCAACCATGAGTGCAGGTATGTTTCAGACTGACCAAGGTTTTTTGTTGGCAATGGAACAAGTGTAAACACTGAACTACCTCTGTTTGGTGGGAAATAACAGGAAATGATTAAATTTGACATAAAACATGTTGATGCCAATGAGGGTTGTTGGCTACATATTATATATATCTAAATGAAATGGACATGAAATATCATGTGCTTCTTTTTGAAGCTTTGAAATTATTGCACATCAATCTCACTAAATGCAGGTTTTATTCATTCTTTAATATGAATAATTTAGAGAACTTCGTACAAACCAGGGGTGGAAATAACTTTAAAATTAATAGTGTACTCCGGTACAGTGGCACATGTAAAATCACTTGCCCTGATAATTTTTCCACTATACCGGCCGTTTTCTTGTTGAATTTTGTAAATAAACAACACAATTAACATTGGAAAGTCAACTGGACATCGGTACAGTGTGATATACAAATTTGCTTGCCAGACAGGAAAAAAACACTGGACTTGTCAGGGCAATGGGTTATTTCCACCCCTGCAAACAAACACAAAGATTCTTTCACAGCTATAGCCTTAGAAATATATTTCAAGATGAGTCCCAAGGACTAGAGTGAACAATATTCACTAGTCCTCAGAGATTGTAGCTAGTCCTGCTTGAACAGGACAAAAATGTGTTCTAATTGTAGCAGCATTGAAAACAGAAATATTGCCTTATGTGCTACTAGTCAATAACAACTACCATTATTGGAATTTTACTTTAGCTCAATGATTGTGAGGCTAGCAGACAAATGCCAACTTTAATGGCTGCAATTGTGATAACACCAATAGTCAACATTACTTTTTTTCATTTGTCACAAACATAAAATTGATTAATTGTGCTCACACAGAAAAGACATATTGGTAGGATACTTCTGGTACTTAAAGCTATCAGTATCTTTGTAGTAGCCAACATCTTCACATGAAACAGACACTGGGGATCTATCTCATCACTGCCTGGAGACCTAGGCATCAAACCAAGCAGAATCCTCTAAATGCAGGAGTTCAAACAGAGTTTTCCACTGTACTACCTATAAGTACTTGATCTTAATGTGCAACTGAACTAAAGGAACTGGTAAAGGAATGCAAACCAAGACTGAAAACCAAGCATCTCATATCTCCTGACAAAACATTAGCTTTATTTCCATATGTGGATGTTGTACACACAACAGTATATATAAGAAATAATACATCAGTGTGTGCAGGTTGATATCAGTGAATTACACAAGAGACTGTGAACATGGTGGAACAGGGAGACCAGGAAGACAACATCACATAGTGACCATTAAGACCTTGCTCAATATGCTCAGTTTCACATTGATTATTTAAATTTCCATACTCATAATAATGTAATGTCTTCAATTTGTATTAAAAATATACAAAACCATCGCCATCAATTTTTTAAAACTGGTATATTTCAACTCAATATACAGTGTACCATCACATATATACTGTATACAAGCCATCATCAATACACCTTGGAGGATAAAACTCTTTCTTAGAACATATTTTTTAAAGATGGCACAATATTTTCTTTGCAGTCAGTTTACTGTCAATAGCTGTCTTTCCTGGATTCCCAATATTTAATATATATCCCAGAGCAGTGGGTGGCCAACATTAACTGCGGATCTTCTCGAAAATACCCTTTACTTCAGCCCACACCTGAAAGTAAAAGATATATTTACATGACACCTTTTGGTACATGTACAGGATACAGGAAACTATGGTTGTAACAAGCTCAAACAGTATGCATTTCAATTACCGTAGATGACCATAGCAGTCTGTAAAAAGGTGTTTGGTCATCTATGGGTTACACTTTCAAACTTATTTTTGTGGTGGTAAGAAAATGTTGTGAAATCACTTCGTGTAAAAAGAACAAAACTTTACTAGACAAGATTATTTACCTTTTTACTTCTAATTTGTTCTTGTTCAGCATTGTATTATATGCAGGCATTAACATTACCATGTGTGCCTGTCTCATAAACAGAGTCAGAAATGGCAATCAGCTGTGCACACCTTTCCCTGTGATCTACTGGTGATTAAGTGAAAACATACCAAATAATATCATGGAAATATCTGATGCAGTGAGCAAAAGAAATATTATCTGAACTATTATTTTACCAAGAGAAATGTATTCCAGCAATGTGTCATTTTAATTGCAGGTTTTGTCCTATAAATGTAAAATATATAACACCATAACTAGGGATATGCAGCAGCACTCATGTATTGCCGGATGGAACAATTTGACCTGTCAATGTGGATTTGTTGACACTCTATTTCTGAAGACTGATTACAACAAGTAAATGAACGAAGGTTGGTGGTTTGGCTTATCTTGGGTCAAGTCAGGACCTCGGCTTGTCTATGGATCGGCTCATCTATGGTCACATACGGTAGACATTTACTCACAAGAAGGACCGTAGGGGAGCGCGATTCTATCCCATGTCCAGTGTTCCCAGTGGGGATTCCGGGTTAGGCTTGGTTAATACCAGCAAAGTATACTCAGGCCTACCACAGAAAACTTTCCCACTGTGCAGAAAAACACTGAAAAGTCCACATTAATCATGGAAATAGCAACATAAACATAATACCGCGCTATTGAAACAGTAAAAACAGCCGCTTTAAACCACTAAAACTGGATAAAAAAACGAAGAGCCTGCAACTTAGATTTTGCGCCTGTGCAGTAGAGGTCAAAGTTCGCTGAAAGAAAAATGTTGCAGTTTGATAGTCTTCTGTGCCATTTTTTACTGTTTCAGTAGTGAGGTATTATGTTTATGTTGCTATTTCCACAATTAATGTGGGCTTTTCTGAATTTTTCTACACAGTGGGAAAATTTTCTTTGGTAGACCTGTGTACTGGTGAGCAGCCACTTGGGTTGGCTGTCACTGTTCCGCATGGATGGTTGCTCTCAGCTTTGACTGTGAGCACACAGCTCAATAATGCAGAGTGTGGCATTAAGCATGTTATTAAGAAATACACACACAGCCAGAGACAGACTCCTCCCAATCCACACACACACACACCATATTAAACACTCAGCATATGAGGACATGGGTTCACCCCACAACTTCCTGTCTCAGTCCCTACTGGAATTCCTACATGTCTACACAAGGTGTACAGCAACTTGAATCACTTACATCATCCTGTGTCTTGTCTGCTTGTATTTCTGACACCAGGTCCAAATTGCGGTAATGTTCGATCACAGGCAGTGTTGAATCTCTGTATGTGTTGATCCTGGAGTACATACAAATAAAATCAAAACACTTGGCAAGTCTGTATCACTTTTGCAATTAAAATTGTGGGCTAATATATCTTCACAATGTCTGAAAGAAAAACATGAAAGTCTGAACATCTCGAACCATGGACACACTCTTATGTTTGTAGAGTGAGTGTGTTTAGTTTTATGCCGCACTCAGCAATATTCCAGTTATATGGCGGCAGTCTGTAAATAATCGAGCTTGGACCAGACAATCCAATGATCGACAGCATGAGCACCAATCTGTGCAATTGGGATTACCATTTATTTACCTTTTCTTTAAACTTTCCTCATTGTCATCAGATCTGCCGCTGGTTTTGCCTCTATTTAAGCAACGTTGAATGCAAACCTGCAAAAATGTAATTTTTTTTATTAAAATTGATATTTTATACTTATCCTGACTCATGCTTAATTGGTCGTCTCTTTCTTTTTGCGAATGATAGTGGAACACTTGAATCCCCTTTTGAAGCTCCCTTAAAAAAAAGCGGACGTAAAATCACTCACCCAGTTGGCGGGAAAATGTGTCACATGACCCAACATGCCCCTCACTCTCTCCTAAAAATGCGCCCGACACCTGGATTACAGGGAATCCAGAGTTTGAGTTTGGGGGGACCACAACTTGTCAGATTTTCTGGGAACCGCTTCTCCGACAGTAAAATTGGATTTATACGACTCCATGTCTTGATTTTCTCATCAAATGGAGAAGTGACCCTTCATCATATACGAGTAAGTCCTTACAAGTATAGGGTCTGTCACTCATGCTAGCCTATCTTAGACGTGCGCACGGACTCTAAGCTCCAACTCTTCCGAGTGTTGGCTTTTACAAGTCATGTGATAAAGGATGAGATTCATCTCAGCGTCTTTGAGGAACCGTCAATTGTTGTGCTACAACAAGAGGCCCAAACTGGTGGATACCGGAGACATCCTCTGTAGCAATGTCTCTGACGTAGTGGTTGGCAAACACCGTCTCCGACTTCCAATAATAGCCCTCCATTATTGTCGAGATGGAGCAGTTTCCATGTAGAGCAAGTGTCGACACCAGTGCTCTGACTTCATGAGGATTAGAGGCTCGTGGTGGCTCAAGTCCTGCTGCTTTATAGGCTCTTATCCATATTGATATTGTTGTACGTGAGATTTCTGTAGGTGTCTCCGTAGATAAAGGGATGAAAAGGCGCTTGAATTTTCGTCTCCTCATCTTAGACCTTTGTAGGTTAATTTGTAATGCTCTGACTGGACATAAGGATAGATCCTGGGTATCCTGTGGTCCAAGGACAGATGAAAGTATTGGTATGTGGAATTGCCTGTCTGGCTGACCGGGCAATTGGTTCTTTGCTATGAAATCCCATCTCAATCCCAGATGTATGATATTGCGATGTGCATCAAATCGTATTCGTTCAAAGTCCAGAGCATGTATTTCTGACATCCGAGCTGCTGTTGCCAAGGCGACCAGGAACAGAGTTTTATGTGTTAGAAACTCATAGGATGTCCTTCCTAGTGGTTCGTAAGCATCACTGGTGAGATGCTGTAAGACTACGTTGAGATCCCAAGCAGGCACTTTGAATTTCTTTTGTTGGTCTTCCAACTTAAAGGAGCGTAGTAGAGCTAGTATCTCTGGTACTTTAGTCAGTTTCACACCCGTCTTCATGGTGATAACTGTACTGAGGGCAGCTAGGTATGTAGAGAGTGTTGAACCTTTTAACCGCCTTGTTTGTCTTAGATGACAAAGGTATTCCGCCACTTGAGGATGTGTTGCTTCCATTGCCATGAAGCCCTTCCTTAAAGCATATTTCTCAAAACTCTGCCACTTGTCGTTGTACAAGCTGTGGGCTGATCTACATAGAGCTAATGTGACTGTGTTCACTGCTCTGGTGGATAGGAAACCACACCCTCACTGGCCCGTAGGGCTCGACCAAAATCAGTTGCTGGTTCTTCGTCTGCTTGATTTTCTGTAATACCTGCGGTATTAAAGCTCGAGGTGGAACCGCGTATGCGTTTAGTCCTTCTCAGGAGATGCTTAGAGCATCTGTTGCCCATGCTTGTGGATCCAGAATCGGAGAGACGAATGTTGGTATTTGTTTGTTGAACCTTGTAGCAAACAGGTCTATCAGCGGAGATCTTATCCTTTGTATGATGCATCTGAATGCTTCTGGGTGTAACATCCACTCCGTCGGGGATGGTTGTGTTGGACGAGATAGGGCGTCTGCTATCACATTCTTGGCTCCAGGAATGAGACATGCTTCCACATCGATGTTCAAATTGTCTATTATTTTGAAAAGGTGAAAGCTGAGATCTAGAAGATTCCTTGACCTTGTTGATCCTTGTTTGTTGACGTAGAACGCCACTGTGGAGTTGTCCGTATGGATCTTCAGTTGTGTGTTCCTTACTATGCTGGACCAGTGTAGTAAGGCGTTTATTACTGCTTTCATCTCGAGCATGTTGATGTGCAGACTATGCTCCTGATTCGACCATTTCCCTGCTGCCACTTTGTTGTCGAGGTTGGCACCCCATTCTACATAGAGATGAGTGTTGTACTCCGGCTCTGATAAGTAGGTTCCCCCGCAAACATTGGACTTCCGAGTCCACCACAGGAGATATGGTTTTAGTCCGTCCGGTAGTCTGAAGGAGTCCGGACTGTCTACATGAGCGTTCACAAACACTTGAAGTGGGCGCAGTTGTAGTCTTAGATTAGAAGATTAGGGAGTAAAAGCCAGGCGTGATGAACTCCTGTTTTATTTCCTTCTCGAGTAGAGTTGTGATAGCGTCGAGTAGGTTCTCCCTCTGGTCGGCAGCATAGTTGTGGGCCAGAGAGTTGCTTTACAATGGTGGTACTCCTTGTAGTTGTATCTTGTATCCTCTGCGTAGGATCTGGGATACGTAATAGTCGTCCTGAAGAATTCCCCAATTCTTCCAGTAGCATTGTAGACATCCACCCACTGTTGAAAGTTGTATGGGAACGGCTGGGGGTGGAAGACTCCAGTCGTTCCGAACCTGTCCTTCAGCATCTAAAGTTCCTGGCACCTCTGGATGCCCTGCCTATTCCGGGGTTACATCTGGGAGATCCGGTTGGGCGACGAAAAGAATCCTTGTCTCCTCTGGAGCTGCCGTATTTCTTTTCCCTGGCTCTTTGTATTCCTGTAAACTTTGACTTGCCAGAGTAGCGTTGCGAGGTCTGATGGATAACATTGGCTAGTGTGTCAATGGACTTGATCATCATTACCTCCCTTGACTCTTTCGTTACTTCTTTGGCTACGTCCCCAATTTCCCCTGCGAAGATAGATGGTGCCAACCACAGAGCTCTGTATAGTGACTTGGTGAAGCGTTCACTCCACGTACAGGAAGATAGCAATACTTGTCTTCTCAGTGTCAGTCCTGCTGATGTAGATGCCAGATGTTCGGACATAAACTGATGGGTTAGTAGTGCCGAGTAGATCATTCTATCTTCTTCCGAGATCAGGTTCATAAACTTTGTGATGAGAGTTTCGTTGATGGCTCTTGACCTGGCTAGGCCAAAGAAGGTACGTCTGGTAGTTGTGTCTAGATGTGCCAACTTCTTATCTAAGTCCTGGCTAGGGAGTAGTTGTAAATGTAAATGCTTCATTATCCTCTTTAGAAGGTGATGCAAGTTCAAATCTATTTGCCATCCAAGATTTGATCTCTGTATCGGAAAATATGATACCCCCATCATCTTCCGATTAAGAGGCTTCTTGTTCTGGAGATGGTTACGTGGAGACCTGCGTGGAGTCCTTAGCGAAGGCGATAAATTCAGAAAAGGATCCTCCCTGGAGTCTTGAGATGTATCTCTGTGCCTTCGTGAAGGTGTAGATTCTCTTCTATGGTGCCTTCGTGACTCCTGATGGCTGTCCATATCAGAGGAGGATGATCTGCGATGCTCCGGTGAACGTCTGGTTCTGATCCTTCGTGAAGGCTCCTCTGGTGAAGATGTCGTGGTACATCGTAGAGTGTGTGATCCTTCACGCAGGTTCCCTCCTTCGTGCAGGCTGCTATCTTCGGCGGGATGTGATCTGCAGGCTGCTTGTAGATGGGGCCTCGCAGGTTCGATGTAGATGGGGCCTCCGTCACTGCTTTTTCCTTGCGAACCTCCGTTCCATCAGGTCCAACATCTGCTGTGTAAACTGCTGCATGAAGACCCGGGGTTGACGCTCTGCGACGACTGCTGCTGCTGCTGCACTGCGGACGACGCATCTGAGAGTACCGAGGCTTCTCCCAAGAACTGCTGCACTTGTTATGATCTGCCATCTCTATCTGATGTCTGCATTGATAAAACGTCTGACTGCGTTGAGATGACTGCTGATGTTACTGTAGATGAAGACCTCGTCTTCTTCCTCACTGGCACTTCAGGGATGAGGATGGGTGGCTCATCATATACGTCTACTTCAGCTGCCGGGATGATCTCTGTAGCGAAAGACCTCATCTTCAGCGCTGCCTCATGTGAAGACATCGCCGGAGTCTTGTGAGTAGACGACTTCTTCTGAGAAGACGATGCCCTAGTCTTCTTCAACTGATGTGAGGTTATAGTTGATGTAGACGACCTCTTCTTGGAGCCAGAAGTCCATCAGTCACAGCGAGCTGCTCCGCAGACGCAGCCGGTAAAGCACTGGAATGGTGAATGTCAGCAGAAAACAACAAACGGTTATCAACGCAATCATTTGGTTTAGACCTGTCCTTGGCACGCCTAAGAATGGAATATAAATAATTATTAAATTCAAATTCAGATAAATGCTGACAAAGTTGACAGTGAAAGCTGGAAGAACATGGAGAAGTACAATTAGGACATATTTTATGCGGATCAGAAATCGACAACTGGTATCTGCAACGACTGCAAGTTTTCATCAAATGTAAACACGGTGAAAAAACATATCAACAACATGAATAAATACAGATAATTTGGACAAAAGTCGAAACCATGTTGTTGGTGTATCAATCCTAAAAGCCGTATACAGTTAATTAAGTAGCAAAGGCCTTAAAATTAAAGGATATAACGCCGTATAGGGGACCCAGGCGCTCTCACAACCGTCCTCTAGGGCGAAGAATGAGAGAGTGAGGGGCATGTTGGGTCATGTGACACATTTTCCCGCCAAAAGATCTAAAGGGAGATAACACTGGGCGAGTGATTTTACGTCCGCTTTTTTAAGAGAGCTTCAAAAGGGGATTCAAGTGTTCCACTATCATTCGCAAGAAGAAAGAGACAAGCAATTAAGCATGAGTCAGGATAAGGAAAAATATGTAATTTTCTGAATAAAATTGATATTTTATACTTATCCTGATTCATGCTCTTTAGCTGGTCTTCTTCTTCTTGCGAACATAGTGGAACACTTGTATCTCCGTAAT